AAAAAGAAAAATTCGATTATTCATTGTTCAATTAAACAAAAATATTAATACTTGTTTTAGTGAAAAACTAATAAACAAAAAATAAAAAGATTTACCTTTATTTATCTCACGTCTCAGTTAGAAGATGGGGAGACTTTTTTCCCCATCGACATATTTGATTTAACACAGTTACAAGATAGAATAATACAAATTTTGATCTCTTTTTCTATCTGCTTTCTAGTTTATTTATGTTCATTGTTGTTTATTTTATAAAGTACAGTTTTTGAATTCTATCTCTTGATTACCAGTATAACTTTATAGTTCCAATAACTCAAGCATAAAAGAAAATATACAAAAATCCAAGCCCTTCAATTAAAATAACGAACCCTCAACTCGTTCTTTGACTGAATTTTTATTCTGATTCATCGATGGAAACTTGTCTGAAAAAAAATACTGCATTTTTTTATTCAATCTCGACGATTTTTTAGTGATAGACTATTATAAGTTCAAGACATATAAGTTCAAGACAAGCCGCCATGGTGAAATTGGTAGACACGCTGCTCTTAGGAAGCAGTGCTAGAGCATCTCGGTTCGAGTCCGAGTGGCGGCATGCCACCTTCTAAAAAAGATAAATAGATCGTATAATAAACTCAACTCCCAATTTCAATTTAAATTGAAGAGACTCTTCTATTCTTTTTAAAGATTTTTTATGATATTTGCAACCTTAGAACATATATTAACTCATATTTCTTTTTCAATCGTTTCAATAAGAATTACAATTTGGTTGATAAGCTTTTTTTTAGAAGATGAAATCATACAACTATATGATTCTTCCGAAAAGGCGATGATAATTACCTTTTTTTGTCTAACAGGATTATTAGTTACGCGTTGGGTTTATTCGGGTCATTTACCACTAAGCGATTTATGGGAATCATTAATTTTTCTTTCCTGGAGTTTCTCGCTTATTCATATAGTTCCTTTTTTTAAAAAAAAGAAAAATTATTTAAGCACAATAACGGGTTCAAGTGTTCTGTTGACTCAAGGTTTTGTTACTTCAGGTATTTTAACTGAAATAGACCAATCCTCAATATTAGTACCTGCTCTTCAATCTGAATGGTTAATAATGCACGTAACTATGATGCTATTGAGCTATGCGTCACTTTTATGCGGATCATTATTGTCAATAGCACTTCTAGTTATTACATTGAGAAAAAACGAAACAATTTTTGTAAAAGTAATCTTTTAGTATTAAATCAAGATTTTTTCAGTGGTGAAATCAAATACATGAATGAAAGAACAAATCTTTTGCCAAATACTTCTTTTTTTTCTACTAAGAATTATTACAGGTGTCAATTGATTCACCAATTGGATTGTTGGAGTTATCGGGTTATTAGTCTAGGTTTTATATTTTTAACCATAGGGATTCTTTCAGGAGCAGTGTGGGCTAACGAAGCGTGGGGATCATATTGGAGTTGGGATCCAAAAGAAACTTGGGCATTTATTACTTGGACCATATTCGCCATTTATTTACATACCCGAACAACTAGAAATATGCAAGGTTACCACTCAGCAATTGTAGCGCTTATAGGATTTCTTATAATTTGGATTTGCTATTTTGGGGTCAATTTATTAGGAATAGGGCTGCATAGTTATGGTTCATTTACATTAACATAACATCTAACTGAGTTCAAGATTCAAGAAAGGATCTTGCGAATCCAACCGGTTACAGCGTATATATACTAAAAAACTTTATGATAGCCGTGTGAATAAAATATTTTATTCACACGGCTCGGGCTCATTGCCCATATCATATGGGTTTAAAATTCATTTTTTTTCTAACTTTACTTAGAAATTGACAAAAAGGTCTCGAATAAAAAAAGAGACCTTTTTAACTACAAAATAAATAATTTTCAAATTTATAAAAAAGAATTAGATAGAATAACTTCGACCTTATCAACCGATAGTGAAAAAATGAAATCCGGGTACATACCAATACCTAGTATGGGTAAAAAGAGCGAAATCGAAAGAAATAACTCGCGCGGTCCAGAATCAACAAAAGAACCTTTTTGAATATTAAGGAACTTGTATCCATAGAAAATTTGTCGTGACATAGATAATGAATAAATAGGAGTTAATATCATTCCAATTGCCATTACAAAAGTAATTAGTATTTTGGGGATTAAAAGAAATTTTTGGCTGGTAATTATTCCAAAAAATACTAGCAATTCCGCAACAAAACCACTCATACCCGGTAATGCGAGGGAAGCCATGGAAAAGGTACTGAACATAGTGAATATTTTTGGCATTCGGATAGCTATTCCGCCCATTTGGTTAAGATAAACAAGACGCAGTCTATCATAAGTGGTACCCGCCAAGAAAAAAAGTGCAGCACCAATAAATCCATGTGATATTATTTGTAAAAGAGCTCCGTTGAGTCCTGCATCGGTTATAGATCCGAGCCCTATAATTATGAAACCCATATGAGATACTGAAGAATAGGCTATTCTTTTTTTTTAAATTCCGTTGACCAAGAGATGTTGAAGCTGCATAGATTATTTGCAATGTACCTACTATCACTAAATATGGCGAAAAGATAGAATGGGCGTGCGATAATAATTCCATATTGATACGCACCAACCCATATGCTCCCATTTTTAATAAGATTCCAGCCAAAAGCATACAAGTACTGTAATGCGCTTCTCCGTGGGTATCCGGTAACCATGTGTGTAGGGGTATAATCGGTGATTTGACAGCAAAAGCAATAAAAAATCCAATATAAAATAGTATTTCCAAGGCTACAGGATAAGACTGATTAGCTGATGTTTCAAAATTTAATGTTGGTTCAGCGGAACCATATAAAGCAATACCCAAAACTCCCAGTAAGAGAAAAATGGAACCCCCCGCTGTGTACAAAATAAATTTTGTAGCTGAGTACAGACGTTTTTTTCCTCCCCACATAGATAGAAGTATATAAACCGGAATTAATTCTAACTCCCACATGATGAAAAAGAGTAAAAGGTCCCGACAAGAAAATGATCCTATTTGACCACTGTACATTGCTAACATCAGGAAATGAAATAATCGAGAATTCCGAGTAACCGGCCAAGCTGCTAAAGTCGCTAAGGTAGTGATAAATCCCGTTAGTAAAATAAGTCCTATAGAAAGTCCATCTATTCCCAATCTCCAATCAAAATCAAAAAAATGGATCCATTTATAACCCTCTGCTAATTGGATTAGTGGCGTATCCATTTGGCAATGATAACAGAATGTATAAGTCGTTAAAATAGTTCAAGTGTGCATATAAATATAGTATACTGCCGGATGACCTTATTTCCTCTATGAGGAAGACAAAAAATTAAGGACCCAGCAAATATTGGAAAAATTACAATTGTTGTTAACCAAGTAAAATAATTCGTGGTAAATACAAGATACACTTGGACCAGACAAACCCGTGCTCAAACAAGTTTGAGCACGGGTTTGTCGGTAAAAAAATCAAATGGATTCAACTGGATTCAAATAAAATTTTCTAGAATGTATCAATAAGCTAGACCCATACTGCGAGTTGTTTCATGAGATAAGTAAACTCGAACACTTAAAAACTCGGTTGGGCAGGCAGATTCACATCTTTTACAACCAACGCAGTCTTCTGTTCTTGGAGCAGAAGCAATTTGTTTCGCTTTACACCCGTCCCAGAGTATCATTTCTAATACATCGGTCGGGCAGGCTCGGACACATTGAGTACAACCTATACACGTATCATAAATCTTTACTGAATGTGACATTGAATCTATGCATTTTGAATGTCAGCAATTTTCAACCTAGTAAGCTTATAAATAAAGCCTATATTTAATATAGAATTTAATATAGATATTTAATTTAAGATTTCAATACCAGATGAATCAACAGGTTAGCAGAAGTTTTCTAATGAATTTACTTCTGGATTGATTTATGACAAGGGTTCAAGATACTTTGATTTCTTAGATTTTTGTAAACACTATTATACCTTAATGTAGCAAACATAGAAATTCCTTTATGACTATTGGAATTCGTTTGAAATTTGTATCACTAATACTAATTATTCAACAAATTCGATTGGTTAATACGAGTTGATTTTCGGTTACGATAAATTAATGAAACAATAGCCAATCCAATAGTTGCTTCAGCGGCTGCAATAGCTATCACAAAAATTGCGAAAATGTCCCCCTTTAATTGACGATTGTCAAAAAAATTAGAAAATGTTACAAAATTCATATTAACTGCATTTAATATAAGTTCAAGACACATAAGAGCTCTAACCATATTTCGACTTGTGATCAATCCATAGATCCCAATAGAAAATAAATACGCACTCAACACAAGTATATGCTCGAGCATCATTAACCAACTCCTTATCAATCTTATTCAGTTCAATCTAAACACCAACTCAATCGATTCGATTGAATCACATATACCAAGTCGTCGATACGTGAATTGCTTATTTACTATTTTGACTATTGTCGGGCTACAACAATTGCACCTATTAAAGCAACTAAAAGAATTATTGAAACAAATTCAAATGGAAGAAAAAAATCGGTTGATAAATGAACCCCAATTTGTTGATTATTAGTTATCAAATCTTGTTCTAGAATCTGGTTTGATCTTGTAGTCCAAATAATAGCGTCCCATGACATATCTAGAATAGTACTAATTAGTGAAATAAAAAGAGTTGTACAAACTATTGAAGTAATTGCATCACCAATATTCCAAAGATTTTCCTCTTTGGAATAGTCTGAACCGTTCATGAACATCACAGCAAAAATGATTAAAACATTTATAGCTCCTACATAAATAAGTAACTGCGCAGCAGCTACAAAGTAGGAGTTCAAGAGAAGATAGAATAAGGATATACAAACAAGAACTAATCCCAGAGAAAAGGCAGAATAAATTGGATTGGAAAATAATACTACCCCCTGACCCCCTAAAATTAAACCCGATCCTAGAAAGACTAAAAGAAAATCATGTATTGGTCCAGATAAATTCATTTAAAAAAATATATAAATTAAAACATTTCATGACTTTATTGACCATAGCAGGAAAAAAGAAGTGACTCCTTTTTTTATGAAACTTCTTTTTGGAGTACTCTAATTTAAATTAATATCCTAAAGCATAGTTTATTTTTAAACTATATCTATTGTGAAAATCATTTACCATTACTCTAATATAGAAAATAAACAGATTTTCTATCCAGAAATTTTTAAACAACTAATTAAAAGTTTGGATCTAAATGAATCATTTCATCAATCCAAACTTTTAATTAGTTGTTTTGAATCAAAATCAAATCGAGGTTTTTAGACATTTTCAATTTTAGGTAAATTCAAAATTGTTCGAATGGTGTAATCATCACTTACGGATGTCGGTAAGCGCCCCAATGCAATTTGATTGTAATTCAACTCGTGACGATCATAAGCAGAAAGTTCGTATTCTTCAGTCATTGATAAACAATTTGTTGGACAATACTCAACACAATTACCACAAAATATACAGATTCCAAAATCAATACTGTAATTAAACAATCGTTTCTTTCGAATATCATTTTCTAATTTCCAATCAACAACCGGTAGATCTATAGGACATACACGAACACATACTTCACAAGCAATGCATTTATCAAATTCAAAGTTGATTCGGCCTCGGAAACGCTCAAGTGTTATCAGCTTTTCGTAGGGATATTGAATAGTTATAGGTAAACGCTTCGTATGAGATAAGGAAATCATGAAACCTTGACCAATGTACCTGGCAGCTCGTACTGTTTGTTGCCCATAATTTATGAACCCAGTTACCATAGAAAACATGTCGTGAATATATAAATAAAATAAAAGTTTTTATACTTATTTCTTTCTCTTGTTTAATAAAAGTCGTAGAATTGTGTAGTATTTTACAGTGAAAGAAGTTGGAACGAAGTTGTTAATAATAGATTACCTAGAGAAATAGGTAAAAGAAATTTCCATCCAAGACTTAATAGTTGGTCCATTCGCAGCCTTGGTAAAGTCCATCTTGTTGCAATAGGAATAAACAAGAACAAATAAGTTTTAGCTAGTGTAATAAGTATACCTATTATTGTTCCAAAGACTTTACCCGCTTTATTGATGTCAAAAAGCTTAGGAATAAATCCGTATGCAATAGAAAGATTCCAACCACCTAAGTAAAGAACTGTGACAAATAATGAAGAAACTAGTAGATTTAGATACGAAGCAATGTAAAATAAACCAAATTTGATACCCGAATATTCCGTTTGATAACCTGCTACTAATTCTTCTTCTGCTTCTGGTAAATCAAATGGTAATCTCTCACACTCGGCTAGAGAAGAACATAGAAAAATGATAAACCCTATAGGTTGACGCCATAAATTCCACCCCCAAAAACCATATTTTGATTGGGCTTCAACTATATCAATTGTACTTGGACTGTTAGATAATCATAGTCGATGAGAACACCAAGGTTCACATCGCTATTACAGAACCGTACGTGAGATTTTCACCTCATACGGCTCCTCAGAGGTCACAAATAAATTTATGTCTTGCTATTTTTTTGGAAGATACTTATTCTAAGATAACGAATTATACCAACGAAATTCTGTTTGCTCTACTTAATATGATATGTATATTATGGATATATATTTTAAATATATTAAAAAGGGCTTCTGAATTGATCTTATCTTTTTTTATTATAAAAATTTCATTTTTTTTGGTAATCAATAATGTAATCCTTGAATAAAAGACTGTTTATAATATTTTTATAACAATTTAGGGTATAGATATTTCAACCTAGTTTTTTGAATTTACGAAAAAGAATTAGACCTTATATTTGATATTTGAATATTTTAATTCCGAACTCATTACACGAGTTCTCTCTTTAGAACTACAAAATTTCTACGAATATGAAAAAGAATTAAAAATAAAAAAAGATCTTTTTTTGGTTGTGCAATTATTCTTTTTTATTCCGTTCCTATTCTCCTTTCTTCATAACTCCTAAAAAGGCTTTAACTTTAACCAAAATAAAAGATTAACTCGTTCGTGATAGTTATTTACTTAATCAGTGAATAGGAGCATACTTTGGGTCGGGATTTTGGGGAATACTTCTTGAGTGTTTCTACCAACCTAAAGCCCCAATTTACTTTCTTTTTATATACAGAAATCCCCTTTGGGTAACTTAACAAACTTACATTACCGCCTCTTTACAAACCCTTTGTGTATTTTGGTCTTCCTAATCATCCACTTATTTTTGTTCAACCTACCTTTAATCTTATGTTAATAGACCTGTCGTAATCGTAATATATAATAAAATAAAAATCTCGTAGAGTTGGTCTTTTAAACCCGCTTCAAGTAATCATGCCTAAATAGCGAATCTTGGGGTAAACAGTCTCGACTGCTTTGCTTATGTTTAATTAATCCTTGTACGTAGGAAATGAGACTTACCCTTTTTTACTGCAAATTTTTAAGCCGTTTTCGTTCACTCATATAACTATCTGCTTGAAGCCTTTTTCTTAAGTGTAAGAAAAAAAATAGAGAGGAAATTTTGTGTCTCAGCGAATCACACGTAGAGATATTGATAATACACACAGAGTTAATGGTATTTCATAACTAATTGATTGAGCAGTAGCCCTTAGACCACCTAAAAAGGAATATTTATTATTTGAACCATATCCTGACATAAGAAGTCCTATAGGAGCAACACTTGAAATGGCGATCCATAAAAAAACGCCAATAGTAAGATCGGATAGAATAAGGTGATCACCAAAGGGAATTATTGAATAACTTAGTAAAATGGATATGACTGCTATGGATGGTCCGATACTGAATAAACGTGCATCTCCTCGAGAAGGAAGAAGGTTTTCTTTGAAAAGTAGTTTTACACCATCTGCTAGAGCTTGCAGAATTCCTAAAGGGCCGGCATATTCAGGACCAATACGTTGTTGTATCCCGGCAGATATTTCTCTTTCTAACCAAACAATCACGAGTACACCTATTATGATTCCTAATACAAGACCAAAAATAGGAACAAGTGTCCATAATATACCATAGACCACTTCCAATCTTGAAAAGGGATTAATAGTCTGTATTTCAGTTGTATCCATTATCATTTTAATCATTTTAACGATCAACTTCTCCCATAATGATATCTATACTACCTAGTATTGTCATAATATCAGCCAATTTCATTCTTTTAACTAACTGAGGAAGAATTTGCAAATTGATAAATCCCGGCGGACGAATTTTCCATCTCCATGGAAAAACGCCTGCATCTCCGATCAAAAATGCCCAATTCGCCTTTTGGGGCTTCAACTCTAACATAAAGTTCTTGTTTAGCTAATTCAAAGGCTGGAGAAGGTTTTTTACTAATAAATCGATATTCAAAATCATTCCATTCTGGATCTTTTACTTTATCAAAACGGCGGATTTCCAAATTTTCATAGGGCCCCCCCGGAATTCCTTCGAGAGCCTGTTGTATAATTTTTATTGATTCTGTCATTTCGCCAATTCTTACTAAATAACGAGCTAATGAATCGCCCTCTTTTTGCCATTGAACTTCCCAATCCAATTCGTAATAACACTCATACTGATCAACTTTACGAAGATCCCATTGTATTCCGGAAGCCCGTAGCATCGGCCCCGATAAACCCCAATTTAGGGCTTCTTCTCCACCAACAACGCCTACGCCCTCAACGCGTTTTAAAAAAATAGGATTACGTGTAATAAGCTTTTGATATTCAGTAACCCCTGTCAAAAAGTAATCACAAAAATCCAAACATTTATCTATCCATCCATAAGGAAGATCCGCAGCTACTCCTCCGATACGAAAATAATTATGCATCATTCGCATACCGGTAGCAGCTTCGAATAGGTCATATATTAATTCTCTTTCTCAAAAAATATACAAGAAAGGTGTCTGTGCGCCAATATCTGCCATAAAGGGGCCAAGCCATAACAAATGCGAAGCTATCCGACTCAACTCCAACATAATGATTCGGATATAACTAGCTCTTTTAGGTACTTGAATATTACCTAATTGTTCAGGCCCATTTATGGTTATTGCTTCTGTGAACATAGTAGCTCAATAATCCCATCGGGTTACATAGGGCAAATATTGTATAATTGTTCGATTTTCGGCAATTTTCTCCATCCCTCTATGTAAATAACCTAATATTGGTTCACAGTCAATAACATCTTCACCATCTAGAGTAACGATAAGTCGAAGAACACCGTGCATTGATGGGTGGTGAGGTCCCATATTAACTCTCATTAAGTCTTTTCTTGTAGCTGGTACATTCATACGTTTTTTAACGATTTATTCTTCCATGAATTGCTGAAAGTTAAAAGAAATTAATATTAATCCAAATTCAACAAATAAACTAAGTACTAAAAATTAAAAAGCCGCGTTTTTTGCAATTAACGAGTTTTTATCTCTCGAATATTCAACCGACCAATTAATTCTTTATAACGTAGTGTATTTTTTTTTGCCAAATAAGCCAACAGTCATTGACGTTTGCCCAATATTTTTCGTAACCCTCGCTGAGATAAATAGTCTTTTTTGTGCAGTTCCAAATGTGAAGTAAGTCTCTGGATCTTATTGGTAAACCAGAATACTTGAAATTCAACAGAACCTCTATTTTCTTCTTCAGAACTTAGTGTATTTTTTAGCATAAAGAATTCTCCCTTACAGATATGTATTTTACCAATGAGTAATAATAATGCTATTTTTTTTTACTATATAAATTTTATGCAGTATGTTAATGCCGTATATGTGTAAATTTCTTTATTAACTCCTACGTTTATCAATTCATATTAATCAATGCAGTTTTAAATTCCATTTTAGTCGGATAGATGAATACAGAAATGTTGTACATTTTTCCATTGATAAAAGGATAAATTTAGCCCTAAAATGAATAAGATTCTGGTAATTGATTTCTAGGTCTAATTGATACGTTATTGATTTTAGTATCTATATTTGAATGGGATATAAGATAAGTCCGTGTTTGAATCTA